CGACGCGAAGTCGGTCTAGGCAGACAATAATTCAGTTGGATACTTCGGACTTCGGATACGATTACACGACGTCGGTCTGTTTACTCGCGGCGAAAATTCCAGTTCGTTCAAGGCAAATAAGTGAAGGAATTCGATCGGTCGCACGAAGGTTAGCTACTGTTCGCGGTGTTGACGGTACTTTGTAGCAACGATCGCGAGCAAAATAAAGGCGACAATGTATCCGAATTCTGCCGGTCGAACGAAGGTCTAGCACGACTCGTGTAATGTTTAGGTCGACTCGGGAAAGGAATTCATAGACGCACACTCTAAGGAAAACTCGTTTCTCGGATGACAACAGTACGGCGACACTCAAAACGATGCTTGGAAGGTCGGTGGCAAAAACATGCGCAACAACGGCAACGGGCGCGCGAAGGTCATACGGCATACCCGCGCGCGGACATTCGGCGATCATGCGACAATTTCAGATGCGGAACAAAGAATCGACGTGACAAAGAAAAGCTCGGAGACAACGGCAAACATGTTCGATCACAAGGCGTAATGCGCGCGAAGGTCATGCGGCACTCCCGTTCGGTAATTACGCGGCAACTTCGTCTTGCGGACAATGATAATACGACGGCTCGATAAAAGATTTTCGGAGGTCAGCAATAATGAGCGCGAATGTTATTATATCGAACGCGCGAAGGTCGTGCGGCACTCCCGAAACGCGGCGGTCGGCCATGCGCGGCAATCTCGCGATCATCGGTCATACAAAGAAAATCAGTAGTAGAAAAGAAGGTACTTACTCCTGTTAGTTTTTCGGGCAATTACTATCGCGGCTACGGCCGCCAAGGCTGCTGTAGCAGCCGCTACTATTGTCGTGTGCGTCTCCGTTATTGGTGCTGTCGTTGCTCCTATTTTTCTATCGCTATTTTCCTCACTACTCTCACCGTTTTTCTCTGTACTCACTGCTCTCACTATCTTCTTTCTGTATTCGCTACTTTCACTATTTCCTCTACTACTCTCACTTTTCTCACTATCTTCTTCCTATACTCGCTACTTTCACTATTTCCTCTCTGTATTCGCTACTTTCACTATTTCCTCTGCGTTATCTATTTCCTCTGCTTTATCTATTTTCTCTGCTTGGGTACCGCGCGACAGCGAGGCTCGGCGGGACTACTCACCGTCGAGGCTTAACGGTTACTGGCGCGCCGTCTTTCGGCGACGCGCCGCTTCTCCTAACTTACTTCCCCTTCGTTATTGTCGATTGGCTGGCTTGTTGCTAAGCCGGGTCTCAGCGCCGTCTATATTAATGTTCTTTGCCCGCGCAATTTGTTTATTGGTCGGGTCTTCGCGCCTAATTTGCCTACTGGTCGCGAAGATAGCGTCGGTTTTCACTCATTAGTCCGACCACCCCTAAGCTGATAACGATTGGCCAGTCAACTAGCGTCGCTTGTCTATCCTCTTCTATCCACCGCTCGTTGGTCTTACCGATTCCCCTCGCTCGCTTCCGATCGGTCTAGCATCGGTGGTCTCGCTTGCTCTCACGCGCTCGGTCGCTCCTACTTCTAGTCTAGCTAGGCCTACCTTAACTAACGGGGGCTTGCGATCAGCTGATCGCGGCTGGAAACTTTAGGGGCTTCTAGCTTCCCGGGGGAGGGTCGGATCGGGTCGTGAGTGCGCGAGGGGTTGTACGCGAGCGTAAGGGTCGTGCGAATCGGTCAGGGAGACTTCTAGAGGTCATAGTTCGCGAGATCCGGGAGTGCGTGGGTGGGTGTATGCGGTCGTGGCTGTTCTGCCGCATCGTGCCGGTAGTGTATAATTTTTCGTGTGATGACGTATCATCACACACCTTTCAAAAGGGGAAAAAATATAGATGAAGAAACTGTATCGAAAGTTATTGAATTTTACGAAAATGACACAAACGGTCGCATTATGCCGCATAAAAAAAAGTTATCAAGGTCAAGATAGATGGTGTGATAGTTTCTAAACAAAAACATTTACTACTGTATGATGTTAAAGTTTTACATTTCATGTTCAAGGAGAAATATCCAGAACATCTTATTGGATCATCTAAGTTCGCAGAGCTGCGTCCTAAATGGTGTGTTTTAGCTGGATGATCAGGAACACACAGCGTTTGCATATGCACGACTCACCAGAATGTTAAACTAATGTTAGATGCTATAAATCTTAAATTTTTGAGCAGGGATTCTGAATTTCAATTATGTGACTACAAAGATTGTTTTAAATTCATTCAGTGTAAGAAACCTACAACTGATTGTCATTTGCTACAGTGTAACAAATGTCCTAATACTGAGAAGCTTTCCGACTTCCTTTTGGAATTATTGAAAAAAAATAAAATCGAACAAGTTATATTCAGCACTTGGCAATCTACTGATCGCTGTACCCTCAAACAAGAATGTCTTCCCTCAGATGAATTTATAGAAGTATTGTGTGATCGCATCAAAATTCTCATTACGCATAGTTTTATATCAAATGAACAAACAAAATTTATATCTGATAAAAGGGAAAATTTAAAAGAAAATGAAATATTGCTACACTGTGATTGTGTGGAAAATTATGCATACGTGGCTCAGGATGCCGCTCAAGCTTTCCATTATAACAATGACCAATGTTCGGTTTTTACTGTTGCATTTTACTATCGCTCCAATGCCGAATTAAAACATCGCAACATGATTTTACTATCAGATTGCACAACCCATGATGCAACAGCAGTTTATTTAATGCAGCAGAAAGTGATACCGATAATTAAAATGTTGTGTCCAAAAAGTACAAAAATTTATTATATATCTGATGGTGCCAAGCAACATTTTCAGAATAGAACTCAAATGATGCACCTTGCCCATCACAAGACTGATTTTCTAATTGATGCGGAATGGCACTGTTATGCAACGTATCATGGTAAATGCATCTGTGATGGACTAGGTGCTTCTTTGAAGAGTGAGGCAACCCGATATAGCTTACAAGCTGAACCAAAAATGCTATATTAAATTCTATAACTCTCTTTGAATGGGCTAAGGAAAAGTTCAAGAACATACAATTTCTTTACTATACAAATGAAGAACATAAGAGGTTATCTGATACATTAAAAAGAAAATTCCCCAACCCACCTGTTGTAACCAAGATTCAAAGTAGCCATGCGTTTATTCCAAATACTAACAATAAATTGATAGTAAAACGCTACGCGGCTGCAAAAGATAATGTGGATATAATACAATATTAGAATTAACAACAGTTGTACATGAATTGGACAATATCTTACACCATATCTAACCACTGCATTATTCCCAGTATAATTTAAAAACAGCTATCCCCCGGGTACACATGTTTAACGCCTTGGGGTTATAATTTATTGAATTTTTAATTGCAAACAGTTTGCCCATAGCTTGTGTGGGTTATTTGGTTATTGGCCTCACTAGTTTATTCTCATTATAATTTAAAAATTGCTGCCCCTGGGCACGCAGGTTCAATAGCTTGGGGTTAGTTTTCTTACATTTTTATTTATAAACAGCTTCTCCTGAGCTTGCGTGGGTTATCTGGTTGGTGTCTAGCGGTCCAAGTTACTTTTTCGATTTACTCAAAAAGGATCGCCTTCACTGAACAATCTTATAAAATAAAAAGCTCTTATAATTAGTCGTAGACTACATATGAATTTTTGTAAAAGATCTTGGGAAGTTTTTTAATTTTTCAAACAATCCGATAAATCCATAAAGCAAAAAATCGCTCAAAGGAATTCGAAAAAATTCACACTTGTGTTTTGATGAATTTCAAGCAATTTTGTTCCTTAAATTTTTTTTCCAAAGTCATTTCCTTCTGAGTAAAAAAATCGCAAAGTTTTTTATTTTTCAAAATTTTCAAAAAATTATAACTTTTTTATTTTTCATTTTAGCGAAAATGGTCTCTGTTACTTTTTTGTAGGAAATGAGCCAGATTTTCATAAAAAAATATGAAATATTAATTTTTTTAACATTTATTACTAAAAATTTGAAAAATCAAATTTTTTGTTTACGAGTTTGTCTCTTGTAGCCGCCATATTGGAGCCGCCATGTTGGATTTTGCAAAGGCGCACACAGCATCAGAAAGTAGATATCCTAAGCTTTAAAATGAGTCGTTGCACGATTTTTTTGGTCACATCAAATTTTGGACACAGCAGTGATCCGGTTGACATGGATCGTCCCATATATATCTATATCTATATATATAAACACGTTTCACATGTTAAAACTATAATTATCAATGTTTTGGGCAAAAAAAAACGAAAAATCGATATTTTATCACTAAAACGTAAAAGTACGCGATCACTCCTATACCAATTTAAAGGTCTTGTAATGCTTAATCTATCATAAAAATTTGAAAAAAAACGATGGCTTTTTTGAGAAAATTGAGTTTGAAATTTTTTCGAAAAATTGAGTTTTTCCCGCCAATTTTCAATATTTTTTTATTCTGCATGGCGCATTCGAAAGAGTATAAGAAATACAGTAAAATAAGCTATAAATAACATATTAAGTAAAAAAATTAGAAAATATAGAGCATTTTTTAAAATTTTAATATTTCATTTTTAGAAAATTTATTTTTTAACCACTTTTTTAAAATACTCGTAAAAAATGATGTAGAGGTCTAATCGAAAAAAAAAAAAAATACGTGTCGGCTTATTTTTGAAGTAAAATAACATACTCCACAGCCGAGTCAATCGGAGATATCATTGCCGTAGGCCTGCCCGATCTGAAATGGATCCGGTCATACATAATTATTAATTGCAATTTATGTTCTCAAAAGTAAAACATTATTTTCAAACGCCTTAGAGAATATAATTTCTTTTTTGCAACTAAGTATTCAATAGAATTGATTTTTTAATTAACTTTCATTGTCTTAACCAAATTTCAATCTTTTCCTATCATTACATTTTGACACTTATTATAATAATCACAATAGAAACTATCGATTATTTGCAGCTTAATTGAAGTAAAAAATCCATTTAATCTTGTTCTTATACTTTTATTTACCTTTCAAGTTTATCAACGCAAGCATCCTGGTAATCGTGGATCCATCTCACTCCATTGAAGTGACAAACTGCTCTCATATCTTCAGGTAGTTGTTCTGGCTCAGGCCAATGAAAATTATCTATTATAGGGATTATATTACATTGTGACTGTAATGCAGCTACTATCTCCTGTAAAAAAATAGTGAGTACTTAAAGTTTTAAATAAAGATAATTCAGAACCAATTTACACTCTGCAACAAAATTATCGCAACAAAATTTTTTATAGAAACATTGCTATTTTTCAAACGCTTGTAGTTCGGTCAATTTTCATCGTATTGAGATCAGTTTTTTTATTTTGCAGGAAATTTTGTGTACTTTTAGGAAAAAATAATTTCCGATAGCTGCGAGATAATACTATATTGCTATGTCTTAATCAGACCTACCAATTGTTTTTCTTGGAAAACGTAATAGTTTGCACGTTTACCTGGATTGGTGAACATTTTTTCTCAAAAAGCCCAAAAATTCCATCTTAAAGTATACTTTTCAACGAGTATTTGAAAAAAAATTCGACCTTTTACGATTTTTTTTGACCAAGTTATGCCATTTTAAAGATATTCCTATGTTTTAGCCAAATACCGCCAACATCAGCATTACCCAATGCATACCGCGAGGACGTTGTTGGTCGGATTTATACATCATTGTGGCCCTGAAAAGGACCGATTGTTTAAACCGTTTCTTAAACTAAGGATCCCGCGGCTCGTCACTTCCTCAGTATGTTTTAACTCCAAACCCTATGCGCCTTAGGCCTGTAGTACCGTGTATTGCTACCTCGCTGATGAATTACCCTCCTAAATATTTTTACATATTAATGCATGCTCTAATTAACCCTTGAGGTATTTGGTGCCAAATTTCATTCAGCATTCTCTCAAGCTCTCGGAACTTAACGGGAGGTCTCTCTAATCTCCGTAATCGCTTACCCATCATGTTCCATACATGCTCTACAAAATTAAGGTCTGGGCTATTAGAAGGATGAAACAATACCTTTAAATTGTTTTCTTTCAAGTGAGTATAAACTATCCTTGTAATATGGGGGCGTGCATTATCCTGTATTAAGATGAAATTACGGCCTATTTGCCGACACATTGGAATTACGCGAGGGCATAAAACTTCGTTTATGTAACGTTCCACCGTTAGTCCTGGAGGTGATGGGAGGATCACTAAATCTGATCGATGGTTCATTGAAATTTCACCCCATATCATAACGCATCCTTCATCAAATGTTCGAGTTGGATCAATGTGACTTGGTGCAAACCGCTATCTACAACACCAAATTCAAATCCTAGCATCGTTTCCGTAAAGACAAAATTGAGATTCATCTGTAAAAAACACATATCTCCAGTCTCTAGATGACCAATGTGGATAATAATGGCGTACTTTAGACGAATTTGTCGATGAACTGGTTCTAAATTAAGCACTCTGACACGAGTTCGTAAACTCAAACCCCTTTTGTAAAGGCATCTTCTTATCATCTGATCGCTAATTCGTCTGCCAGGTAAAGCATTATTCTTAATTTGTCGCGCAACTTGCCTTGGATTGCACAGGGTTTCATTAACAATGTTGCGATCCTCTCGATTCGTGGTAATTCTATGTCGACCTTGACCAGGCCTCCGGCGATAAGAACCTGTTTCTTCATACTCACTAAAAACGCGTGACACCGTTGAGCGATTAATTTCCATTCTTATAGATATATTGCTTTGACTTAGTCCCGGTTCTAGTAGGGCAAAAATTTCAGCAGATTGGATTTCAGTAAGCCGAGGCATTTCACTTAAGTATATGTTACTGTAATTTTTAATTGCTATGTACTCTGTGGAATAAAATGAATGTTGAATGATCTTTTACCTTAACTCTTGACCAGTATACCGCCTTGAACATTTACTTTATTTTTCTTAAATTGAATTGTCGGTTAGGGTTGATAATTATACCAAAAGTGTGGAGGTGCAATATTCAATCCAACGAAAACGTAGTGATGTAATTTTAAATAAAGTTACACTTGTCATGGATTAATTAAAAAAAAAGCGAACATCAATGTGGTTTCTTAGTTTATGAGAGTTTAGAATAGCTTCCGGGAGACGAATTTGTTAACTGTGATCTGATAATTTTTCAGGGCTACGTATCGGGTAATGTTGATGTTGGCAGTATTTGGCTAGAACAGTTGTATATTTTTAAAATGACATAACTCGGTCAAAAAAAATCGTGGAAGTTCGAATTTTTTTTTAAATACTCGTTGAAAAGAGTAGTTTAAGATAGTATTTGTGGTTTTTTGAGAAAAAATTTTTGCCAATCCAGGTAAACGTGCAAACTATTGCATTTTTCAAGAAAAAAAATTGGTAGGTCTCATTAAGGCATAGCAATGTCGTATTATCTTGCAACTATTGGAAATTATTTTTTTCAAAAGTACACGAAATTTCCTACAAAATAAAAAAAACTGATCTCAATACGATGAAAATTGACCGAATTACAAGCATTTGAAAAATGGCAATTTTTCTATAAAAAATGTTGTTGCGATAATTTTGTTGCAGAGTGTATATCAGAAGAAAGATATACCCGATGAACCCAATCTTTACAATCTATATCTTCAATGCACCTTTCTAAAGCTTTCGGTGTGAGAACAAGTAAAAAATGTTTGGCTTGTCTTATACTTTGTAGGAGATTATTGTCAAATTTTCCAGCTTCTAATCTTTCTACATCAATAAATACTGAAAATCCTCGAAGTTGTAGATGTACCTTCAGTAAACTAGCTAATTGTGAGCCATTTGATCTTCTATAACTAACAAAAACATCAAGGGATTTATCTGGGGATTCATTTTCACTGGGATTAAATTGATTATATTGAGTATTTTTTATAGCATCTAATATTCTTAGCCGATGTATGCTATTTATAATCCCACATTCTGTTAGCAACTGATCTTCGGTTAAATTTTTTATAGATTCCTTATCTACTCCAGCATTTAGCATACTATATGTATAAATTGAAAACTCTAGGCCTACAGATTGAAGAAAATTATTTAGATTTCCAGCATCTCTACTACTATAATCGGCCATTTTTTTCAAATTCTGTAGCTCCCTTGTAAATCTTCTTCTTTTTATGCCATTTGTAAGTCCAATATCTTCACGAAGATTTTCTTCTGTTAACTGAAGAAGAAGATCGCCATCCACCCGACTTTCTATAAAGTTATTTGCATATTCAGCAAAGCCAATTTGTTTTACCCATTCACGTACATCCTCACTTGACCAGAGTGGTACTTGCTGGCTTAACTTATGAGGAATTTCTTCGCCAATAAGTCTTAAAGCTTGGACAGCAAATTTTGAAGCTATCGCATTAGGACAACTCGCTACCTTTTTAAGCGGCTCTATTGCTCCAATTAAACGAAATATTTCAGTATTTCCTTGTTGTTTTTTTATTCCTGCTTCCATACAAAAATGAAAGGCAGCTAAGTTTCTAGCTTCTTCTCGTTTTGAACTCAGAACAGGAACCAAGCGCTCTAACCAATTTTTGCTTTGCCCATGAGCATGAGCCAAATTAGATTTCGCAAATTCGAAAGGATTGTGTGAAGTTACAAATGGCTCAACAAGATCTAAAGTGCCAGATTTCAAAACAGCTGCTTCAATTTCTTTATTAGCTACAAGAACTGCAATAGCCAAGCATGCGTAGTATTTAATATTATCATCGTTATGAAAAGCTAATGGAAAGAGCCACATAGGTACTTTTCGCTTGATCATAGCTTCTTGATTTTCTGCTCCTCCGTATAATGACAAATTTGCTAAAGCACCGGCGCAATGTCTTAATGTTTCTACATCATTTTTTCGACACTCAAACAATACAGCATCAAGACCACCTAATCGTATAACATCACTACATGTTCCTTCGTTGTGTTTGAAAAGATGCTCTAAAATACCCGTACCAACACGAGAATGTTCAACAGAGTTGATATTTTTAGTACACATACATGCGACATTTACAACTTTTTCAAGACCGTTATCAACAACATATGCTCGATTTTCTGTTGTTAAACACTGTTCTAAAAGGCGAGCTGAGGAAAACTGTAGCTTACTGTCATTAGATATACAATTAAACATTAAAATATCAAGACCACCTCCCAAACGTAAAGTATTACATAAACTATATCCTAATTCGTGACCATATGTAGGAACAGCCCAAGCTTTTCTGATGATTTCATTTACTCGGTCAAGTAAGAGAGGAGTTTTTTCTACAGTTAAAGGTATTTGATCTTGATTACTTGTTAAACGTCCTATTAGATTATTCAAAAATTCTGAGTACTTGATAATAGCTAATTCTACATCTTGAGCTTTAGATTTTGACGATAAAAGATCAAGGTCATCTAAAGATATAGATAAAAGATCATCATCAATATTTCTGGAACTGATTCTGTTTTTGTTAATAAAATGATTTATAGCATTTGTTGCATTTGAAAGCAATGCTGATTTAGTGGTTGTTGTAATACCAGAAGCTTTTGAAGCTATCGTAAAACTAGACTGTGAACTGCTTGCTGAATGTTTTTCTTGATTGAATATCCCACTTGTCAATGTTTGCCGTTGTTGTTGAGATGCAATTGCTGTCTGAAATAAATAAATTATATTTTAATTTTAAGTATTCTGAAGGAAATATTTAATTATTTATGTCATTAATAGTATTTTATATACCAATGGAATAAAAGCGATCTTTTATGATCACACGTGTAATTTGAAGTAAAAGTCGAAGTTTGAGATGACATCTATGTACAACTCAATGATCTAATTACATCAGTAGATTCTTTTATATAGTTCCATCCTTGCTTATAAAAAACAAGTTTTAAAAATCAGAATAGAAATTTGATACAGAAGCATAAGTGGCAGGAACTTTAATTGATCAGTATATAAAAAACTTAATACAGATATTCATATGTTATAACATACTATGTATAAGGGGATCATACGCGAATATCGTTAATACATAAATAAAATACTTATGTCAAACGTAATTAATCGAAACTTTATAAAATAAAAAGCGAAGAAATGAGGAATTAAATAGTGTTCAGGCCTCGACCTGCATTTCCCAATTTTCCCCTCAACATCGGTTTGTGTGGCTGGCTTTTTCTCGCTCAAATTCTGGCTTATTTTTCGTTCAAATCAACGAGCCCACGGTAAACAGTCGTGACGTCATAACTTTATAAATATTAAGAGTAAATGTTTGGTCACATCTCATATCTCACCCATGTAAAATAACGACAGGTCGAGTCTTGCTTCTTATTAACTCTGTGACGTCTTCACATTTACGCTCTTTTTGACCTATGTCCACGTATGTAAACCGGGATGATCGTGTATATTGCTGAGAAAGTTTTTGACGCGCATAATTTTAACTTTGCCAAAGTGCGAACACAATACTGCCACAGAGGCAAAAAGGGGAACGAAGTGCCACCCTTGCCACAACAGCGTTAATAAAAAAAGGAAGAGCGACTTCGTGAATGCTCAATAGTGAAAGAGAGAATAGACATGATTTTATTTTATTTTAACTCACTTTTATTATTTCTTCTTTACTTTTGACACTTTATTTATCGTAGCTTTGCGCGCTTACAATAAATCTTACTTCAAATCTTCTTATCTTCGTGCTGCTGCTTGGCTAACGGTAATTATTGCAAGCCTAGTCCAAGACTCGCTTCTAAGCTAGAGAGTGAACGTTAGAGAGCCTTCTCCGAGCCTCAGATTGTGCAGAGCCTTTTATTAGCTGAGGGTGATTGGGTGGTTTTTCCCTTTCTCATCCCTTCAAAAAAGCTTCATCATAAAATTAGTCCCATTTTTCTCAGTCGTAGGAGGATTTTCTTGTCCAATTTTGGTGACGTTAATTGGACTGAAGGCGTGAGTTTTCCAAAGAAGCGGGACGGAGCAAAAAATAAGACCTCTCATAAGAGATGGACCCACTGGTACCTTTTTGGTCAAAATTTAGGTACTATTATTAATAATAGATACATGCAAAGCTACGTTGAATACTCTTAACTGCTATGTGGGGTAGATTTACCCCAGACAATTTTTTATAATAAATAAAATTTTTTTTTTTTTCAACAATTTTTTTCAGTGTATGTAACATTAAAAATTGTTAATCTGAATATTTTTTTTGTAGTAAAAAGTTTAATATATACTAGAAAAAATTTTCATAGCAAAATATCTAAGTCTCTATTTTATTCGATATTTTTCGGGCTGGGGTAGATTTACCCCACCGAGCAGTTACGTGGCCAAAATGAGGTGTGCAAGTTAAGGGTTAAACTACTTAAAACTAAATATTCGAGGGTGATCCGATAAGTACTTAGCCTACAAATGAAAAACGAAAATTTTAGAAAAGTGGCGTTTTATTTTTCAACATAGTCTCCTTTTAGTTCGATACACTTGGCCCAGCGATGCTCCAACTGCTTTAACCCGTTTGAAAAATACGTTTCCTCGAGGTCTGAAAAGTAGGCTTCCGTGACAGCGATTACCTCCTCATTCGACTCAAATTTCTGCCCGGCGAGTGACTTTTTCAAGTTTGGAAACAAAGAGAAGTCGCACGGAGCTAAATTTGGAGAATACGGTGGATGGGGCAACAATTCGTAGCCTAATTCGACCAATTTAGCTATGGCGACGGCGGAGATGTGAGCCGGTGCGTTGTCATGGTGGAAGAGCACTTTTTTCTTCGCCAAATGGGGCCGTTTTTTCTGCAATTCGACGTCTAATCGGCCCAGTAATTCGGCATAGTACAGCCCTGTGACCGTTTTGCCCCTCTCCAGGTAGTCGATGTAGATCACACCTTGTGAATCCCAGAAAACGGTGGCCATCACCTTTCCGGCCGATGGGGCAGTCTTCTCCTTCTTCGGAGCACTTTCGCCGGGTAAAGTCCACTGTTTCGACTGTTCCTTGGACTCTGGTGTATATTATACTAGTGGATCCATGTTTCGTCGACTGTCACGAAACGACGCAGAAACTCCTTCGGATTGCGCTTAAACAGCGTCAGACATTGCTCTGAAGTTGTGTCGCGGTTGCGCTTGTTGTCCAGAGTGAGCAAACGCGGCACCCATCGCGCCGAAGCTAGATTTGTCGCTAAAATTTCAAAGTTTAGTGATTGAAAGAAAAAATTTATTTCACTTTTCAGGTAAATACAAAATATTCTACAATTCATTTTTTCCTTTCTACAAGTTGAGTCGTTATTACTCATTTGTTTCTTTTACAAATGGATCTTACTCAACTAAATATTATTGCACGTGGCGAATTTAAGCACACCAAAAAGTTAGTGAATTGACGAAAGGATGCAAGTATATGATCATCAAAGTAAAGCCAGTTACAACATGATTTGGTGACAAAATAATTGTTGAGATTGACGACGAATTTCAACTGTTACTGTCATCCAAGCGATTGAATGCAATTACACAAAATCAAAATTTGATGGACGATTTGACGGAAAAGGCCAATAAACTTAATTTATTTATAAATTATCAGAGGAAACTGTCTAGAATTTAGTAGCGCGTAGACACATTATTATTAATAAATAAATACTCCAATCGTATTTTTACATCAAATGTTTATTTATTTATCCTTAAATCTACATACATAAGTTTAGACTCAAACTCTTTTTTTCTACAGTTCACTTTTACCTATCCGACTATTATGCGAATTATTGAATTGTAACCATTTCACAAACATTCAATTATCACGACTTTTAATAATTTTTTCAACCAGATATATATCGGGATGTTTCGTTTTTTGTAGTTCCTGCTCGTAAAAACCCTAAGTATAGGCTGATCTTGATAATCTTTCAAGTGATAAATAGTTGGATTTGATGAAACTACACATGCAATAGTAAATAATTCCGTAGACCAATTCGGTGTATATCCTTTTTCAAATATTTGCTTTGCATTACTCACTCTCACTTTATCACCAACTTTGAACTTTGGCTTCCTTCTTACGCATTCTTGAGCAAAATTGCGTAATACTTGAGCTTGATTCACCGTTGTCACTTGAATAGGTTTCTTACCAATCGTTCTGTGTTTTCGATTGTTGTAAGCAGCAGTGAGCTTTGGTCTCGTATCTACCCATTAGCGATTACCTCCTGATTCGACTTAAATTTCTGCCCGGCGAGTGACTTTTTCAAGTTTGCAAACAAAAAGACGTCGCACAGGGCTAAATCTGAAGAATACGGTGGATGGGGCAGCAGTTCGTAGCCTAATTCGACCAATTTGGCTATGGCAACGGCGGATGTGTGAGCCGGTGCGTTGTTATGGTGGAAGAGCACTTTTTTCTTCGCCAAATGGGGCCGTTTACTCTGCATTTCGACGTCGAATCGGCCCAATAATTCGGCATAGTACAGCCCTGTGACCGTTTTGCCCCTCTCCAGGTAGTCGATGTAGATCACACCTTGTGAATCCCAGAAAACGGTGGCCATCACCTTTCCGGCCGATGGGGCAGTCTTCTCCTTCTTCGGAGCACTTTCGCCGGGTAAAGTCCACTGTTTCGACTGTTCCTTGGTCTCTGGTGTATACCAGTGGATCCATGTTTCGTCGACTGTCACGAAACGACGCAGAAACTTACTTCTTAATAAACATAAACATTCAACCATATTCTTAGTTAAAACTGACTAATATTAATTTACACAGTGTTTACTAATTTAGAAACTTTATATGATAACATAAATGATTATTTAAATAATTAACGCCAAATCAGCTCAATTATCAGCTCAAGATTTTTTCATATAGGGTTTCTTAGTGGCTCAGATACTGGAAAGTTTTCGAAAGTTTTCGAAAGAAACATTCGGTTTTTATCTCGTTTCCTAATTAATATATTTTTTTTTTTTGAAAGAGGCTCTCAACTTATTATCTATTTGCCTTATGAATTTGTTAATCTTATAAATAAAATCTTAAAACTTAGGAATATATAAAAATTCATATAAAAGAAAAGGCGTTCGCCGTTACAACTCACAACACGATAGTTGATGATACTTGTTTTATATTTTGGATTACAAGTAGCAACTGGAATCAAATCTTCTCTGACGTTATTCCATCCAAAACTGATCTCAGAACTCACCAGAGGGCGAGCCATTATGGACAATCTTGTCTCTTCTCCTAAAATTTGACATAGTAGGAGAGAGCGCTCTAAGCGTTATGAGCAAAAGTATAAAAATCAGTGCACACGATTATTCAGTCCATAAATTCTAGCAGATAAATCGACTTCAAATCTCTCTGAAGCCCTCCAAGCCTTCTATCAGGGATAGAAGTTCATCTTTGACAACCAATGTCTTCTGCCAAACTAAGAGATACTTCCAAGAAGACTGCCAAACCTAGAGAATTTTCCGAAGTTTTTCCAGTGGATTTTCCAAGGCTTTTTCAGTAAAATAACAAAGTGATAAGTAGCAGTATTCTCAATCCTATTTTAAGTCAACGCCTTCTCCCTTCAACCATCCAAGATTTGTTTTTCTTTCATATTCACCAAGACTCAATCTGATGATAACAAAGTTATATCAGACAGTTTTTATATAAACAGATAGATTTATGTAATATTAAAAAATAAATTACATAAATAATATTTTTGCCCTGTAAAATTCTTCACTTATATACATATTT